AAAAAAAAAAAAAAAAAAATGCAGATATATGCAAATGCAAATACTATCTTATTTTCTCCTTTTTATAATATATGGCAGGAGAATGCATAGTATATAGCATACTATATGGACTGTTCTTTACTTTTTGTTACTTTGGGATTTTTCTGTGTTAATGCCTAAAGAGAAATCATCTATTTTTTTATGTCTACCTAGTGTCCTACTGGTGACTATACCTTATATATAACCACTTCCCTCCTGGTGAACATTTGAGTTTTTATCTTTCTCTATTACCAAAAAAAAAAAAGAAAAAAAAAGAAAAAATCTTTCAGTCCCTGTGTGGTAATTACTTGTTCTGTTCCAGCTTAGTTTATACTTTATTCCTTGGAATTATGTTTCTAATTGAAGGATCATTTTACTCTGCACAACAGATTTCTATTCACTTAATGGAAGCACAGTTTTCTAGGTTTCAAACCTCCTTTCATTTTGGTACAGTGGCATCTGGCCCGTCCTAATAGCTCATGAGTTTGATCGTATAGATTTGTCTAATTTAGGTAATCGGATCCTGTTTGTCATTTATGTTGCATCTTATCTTTTGACATTTTAATTAGGGCTGCAGCAACTAATTTAGTAGCTAAATCATAAAATATATGATTAATTTTGTCCTTTGGGTAAATTTCTGGAAGAATCTCTGGGTTAGAGGTTATGTGTATATTTACCATTTGTGATATATACTATCAAATTGCCCTCATACTTCCCATCACAGTTTAAGAGTGTCCATTCCCTACAAATTTGGTAACATTGGGTGTCACTGAAAAATAATCTTTGCTAACTTATAGGAAGAAAATGGCACCTGTGGTTTTAATTGAATTTCTTCAACTGCTATTGAGGTTGAAATCACTTCCAATGTTTTATTTGGATATTTCCTTTTATGAATTACCTGTTCAGGCTAGGTGTGGGGGCTCATGCCTGTCTTCGTAGCGCTCTTGGGAGGTCAAGGTAGGAGGATTGGTTGAAATCAGGAGGTCAAGATCAGCTTGAGAAAGATCAAGACCCATTTCTACTAAAAATAGAAAAATTAGTTGATATTGTGGCAGGTGCCTATAGTCCCAACTACTTTGGAGGCTGAGGCAGGAGGATTGCTTGAACCCAGGGGTTTGTGGTTTCTGTGGATTAGTCTGCTGCTAGGGCACTCTAGACTGAGGCAAGAGAGTGAGACTCTGACTAAACCAGTCCCCCCCCCCCAGCAAAAAACAAAGAAATCAAAGAATTACCTGTTAAGGTCCTTTGCCTGTTTTTTTTTTTTTTTTTAGATGGAGTCTCACTATGTCGCTCTCGGTAGAGTGCCATGGTGTCACAGCTCACAACAACCTTGGGCTTAAGCGATTCTCTTGCCTCAGCCTCCCAAGTAGCTGGTACTACAGGTGCCCGCCACAATGCCTGGTTATTTTTTTGCTGTAGTTGTCATTGTTGTTTAGCTGGCCCGGGCTGGGTTTGAACCTGCAAGCCTGGGTGTATGTGCCCAGCACCCAACCCACTGAGCTAGGGGCACCACCTCCGTTTGCCTGTTTTTCTATTGGGAGTACTGGCATTTGTCCCTTTCTATACTATATTTTAAAGATACTAATTCTTTTATGATAGTACATTGTTAAAAGTATTTCCTTCTGTTTACTTGCATTTTAATTTTGGTTAGTTTAATTTTTGACCTTTAAATGTAAACTTTTCATGTTAAATGCATTGGAATTCCTCTTTATGGGTCTTGTCTTTGGTGACTTGCTACGAAGCTTGTCCACTTCCTAGAGTATATAAAATATTTGCCTTTTTTCTTCAAGCCCTTTAGTGGTTTTATTTTTTTATCCTTTAAAATATTCTTGATTAGAATTTTTATTTTCAGGGTTGGGCGTGATAGCTCTTGCCTGGAATCCTAGCACTGGGAGGCAGGTGGATTGATTGAGCTCAGGAGTTCGAAACCAGCCTGAGCAAGAGTGAGACTGCATCTTTTAAAAAAATAGGTGGGAGTTGTGGTTGGCACTTGTAGTCCCAGCTAATTGGGAGGCTGAGGCAAGAGGATCACTTGAGCCCAAGAGTTTGAGCTGTGAGGTGTAATACCATGGCCCTCAACCCCAGGGTAACTGAGCAAGACTCTGTCTCAAAAAAAAATCTTTTTTTATTTTCAAAAGTTATGTGTTTTTATTGTATCACTGAATTTATGCAAAGATGTGTAATGATAAAGGTAATGATTCCCCATTAGCCCCATCCATTCATACCACCCCAAGGTAACCAGTATTAACAACCTTCCACAGTCTCCTTCCATGCTCATTAGTGCCTTCGTATTTAAAGCTTTAATCTACCTGGAATTTACTGTGGTATCAATCTAACAGGAAGGATCTAACTTTTATTCTTTTCTAGGTGGTTAGCTATTTTTTTTCTAACATCCTTCATTAAATAACTATCTTTTCCTCACTGATCTAAAATGTGACTTTTGTTGTAAACTAAATCTTGGGTCTTTGTCTAGAATTTTTACCCTTTTCTATGATCTATATCCTTTCCTGGGTCAGCATCGTGCTTTTAACTATTATTAACTGTTATTAGCTTTTTAGTTTGTATAGTGAAGTGTATTCTTTTTATTTTTTAAATACAGTTTTTCTCTACTAAGTGATACATTGACATGACACAAAATCTTGGAAATATAAAAAGGAGTATAATGATAAATTTCCTTTCTAGTCTTGTCCCAGTTCCTCTTTTCATAGAAAATCAGTGTTATTAACTTCACAGGTTTTCCATAAATATACATTGAAATATTTAAATTTTTTTTTTTTTTTTAACAGTTTTTGGCCAGGGCTGGGTTTGAACCTGCCACCTCTGGCATATAGGGCTGGTGCCCTACTCCTTTGAGCCACAGGTGCTGCCAGTTTTTTTTTTTTTTTAATGGAGACAGGGTCTCACTCCACTCGCTGCCCAGGTTGAAATGCAGTGGTGTGATCATAGTTCACTGCAACCTCAGACTTCTCAAGTGATCTTGCCTGCTCAGCCTCCTCAGTAGCTGGATCTACAGGTGCATGCTGCTATGCCTGGCTGATTTTTCTTTTTCTTTGTAGAAACAGTGTCTTGCTATGATATCCAGGTTGGTCTTTAACTCAACTTGGACTCAAGCAGTTCTCCCACCTCGGCCTCCCAAAATGCTGGGATTATTGATGTGAGCCCCTTTGCCTGACCCATTTTAATTTTTTACAAGAGGGACAGCTGCTGTATACTGCACTTATAAAACAGCATTCTTAGTTATATCTTTTTCCCAGTGAATTTTGGAGTTACTTTGTTGGCTCCCTTGTATCACATGCACCCCACTGAGATTTGGACAGGAATTATTTTAAAGTCTTATACATTTGTGTAGAGGAGCATTAACAGTTCTACTTTTTCGTTGGGGAATAGATTGGTTTGCCATCTACTTTCTTTTTTTTGAGACAGAGTTGTGGCATCACAGCTCACAGCAACCTCAAACTCTTAGGCTAAGGTGACTAGACGTCCCAATTTTTTAGTTTGTCCAGCATCCTGTGGCATTTTAAAAAAGTCTCAATTTTTGGAAAGAATGCACAACAAGCTAGGGAAGGGCGGGAGAATGGGAAGGGAAATGAAAAGGCTAAACTCCCTACTTCCCTCCTGGGCAAGGTCACCCAGGTGGAATCGGTCTCAGAAGGATACTGGTTCCCTCCCTCGCTTCTAGGCAAGGACCATTGGCTCAGAAGGAGCCAAACTGTCTGGAACAAACAAGTAGCCCCCCCTCTCTAGAGGGTCCCTAACCATAAACAGCTCAGTCAATAGCCACATTACCGCCTGCCCCCCCCCCCCTTTACCAATGTTAAAATCTGATCACCTTATCTTAGGCTCAAGCAATTCTCTCTCCTCAGCCTCCCAAGTAACTGGGACTGTAAGCCTGCCACAACACTCAGCTATATTTTTAGACACGAGGTCTCACTCTGGCTCAGGCTGGTCTTGAACTCATGAGCTCAGGCGATCCACCCATCTTGGCCTCCCAGCGTGTTAGGATTACAGGTGTGAGCCATTGTACGCGGCCTCATCTACTTGTTTTGAACATTTACAGCTACTCAAGCCCTCCCTGCTCATCCGGTATCTTCTGAGGATCCTTCTAGCCCTCTGCTGGCCCTTTCTGCCCACCCAGTGCTTTTTCCTCATGTAGCTCCCACAGCCTTCAGTCTCCCCTGTTCCTGTGGAGCCTTTGCTGTCTGTGTAACTGGCAGCTCTTTCCCCCGTGAGACACCTGCCCTCTCTCCCACCACTTAGTGGCTCTTTATTAGGACCCCACTTTGCGGGTTTCTTCCTCTTCCCTGGATGTCTAGCAGTGGGCTGTACCTGCCTCAGCGGTAGGAACCTGAGCAAGGTGAGGGCCTGCCCTGGCTGGAGGAGGCACAGAGCTGGGCAATGTCCTTCTGCTCCCTCCCTGTAGTGCTCTCCTTCCAGCGGTGGCTGTGTGAGGGGAGGTGGTTTGGGACTGCTGTCCTTGATGGGTGGAAAGGAGCACATCTTCACACTTTCCCCCTGGGAGTTTTATAGATAATCTCACCCTTCCTGGGTGAGGAGAATCATCTCTTACTATTATTTCTTTATGCCCTTGGCTCTGAGGGTATAGAGAAGGTCATGCCCCACACCTCTGCCTTTTCATCTCCCTGACCCCAGTTGGCCTCACCATCTTCTCTGACCAGTTGTCCCCTGACCGTGGCTGGCAAAGTGATGTCAGAGCTAACTGGCCTTTCAGCATAGACTTTTGCCTCATTTGTACCAGGTTGTGTGAGTAACAGAGGTCGGTCCCTGTAGCCTGCGCTTGGTTGTAGACTTGGCCTATGATGTTTAATTATGTTATTCTGGAATCATCAGGCTTTGGGGAATTGATTCCTCTTGCATAGCAAAGGAAATGCGTAGCAATTACACTCCATTGGGAATTTATACAGAGGCTGGATCTCTCCACTGAGCAGAATATTGGGGCCTCCTGCCATTGACAGTTGGGAACCCAAGTATTCATGGGGGTAGCTTGGTGAGTAGGGGTTACAGTAGGGGTATTTCTTGTGGACTGTGGTAGAGACTGGAGAATTAAATTGCCCTCAGCTTATATGCTACTTTTCTGGCAGTCAGAATATTCATCTCCTACATACACAGATATCTTCTCTTTATGTTCCTGAGACATTGTCCTTGTGATACATTCTTAATTTCTGATAAGGCTACATGAGATGCGGTCCAGTTTACATTAGCTCCATTTCTCTCTCTGGTGCTTCTGGTAACCCACACTGCATTCATAACCTGACCAAACCAGAGGGTTGGACAGCTTGTCTGTGGAGTTGGCTGCCCACACGCTGTGTGGGGATCTTCTCTCCATTCCAGGGCGGTGTGTGTCGTGCCTGGTTTATCCTGTTCCAGGTCTGAAGGCCTCTGTGTCCCTTGCGTCATGGTCCTGGCTAATTTATACAGCTGCCGTGGTGTCCCTCCTGATGACCTTCCTTCTCTTCTAGCTACTCTCGGAACCGTACCTTTGACACCTACATCGGGCAGGGCTACGTGATTCCTGGAATGGATGAAGGTTTACTTGGCGTTTGCATCGGAGAGAAGCGAAGGATTGTGGTCCCCCCTCACCTGGGCTATGGGGAGGAAGGAAGAGGTGAGCGCCGTCCACCTGCCTCTCCAGCTGCGGCTTCTCCACACAACTCGGAACAGGGCTGCTTCTCCTTTTCTGTTTTTATGTTTTTCTTTGATTTAGTGGCAGGGACTCACTGTGTCACCCAGGCTGGAGGCACAGGCCCTGTCATTGCACACTACAGCCTCAAACTCCTGGCTTTGTGATCCTCCCACCTCAGGCTCTCCAGCACCTGGCACCACAGGCATGCACCATGTGGCCTGATTGGGGAGGGCTTCTTGAGACCTAAAACATTGAAGCCAAAGTCCAGTTTAAGACTAGTATGCCCAGATAGAATTTGGTTTTTTTCTTTTTTGAGACAGTCTCAAGCTTGTCACCCTGGGTAGAGTGCCGCGGTATCATGGCTCACAGCAACCTCCAACCTGGGCTCAAGCAATCCTTTTGACTGAATTTTTCTATTTTTAGTAGAGACGGGGTCTCACTTTCGCTCAGGATGGTCTCAAACTCATGAGCTCAAGCAATCCACCCACCTTGGCCTCCCGGGGTGCTAGGATTATAGATGTGAGCCACTGCTCCTGACCCCCAGATAGAATTTGTTTCTAACTTAATCTATTATTTCTCCTTAATCCCCTACGGATTTTCCTTTTGAAAAAAAAATTTTTTTTTAAATTTTTGGAGATGGAGTCTCACTCCATCGCCCTGGATAGAGTACAAGTTGCATCATAGCTCACAGCCGTCTCAAACTTCTGGGCTCTAGCAATCCTCCTGCCTCAGCTTCCTGAGGTAGTTGAGACCTTAGGCACCCGCTACCATGCCTGGCTAATGTTTTCGCTTTTTGGTAGAGACTGGATCTCGCTCTTTCTCAGGCTGGTCTCAAACTCCTGAACTGAATTCACTTGTCCATGAATACAATTCAGTGATTTTTAGTAAATTCAGTGAGTTGTGCAACCATCACCTTAATCAAGTTTCAGGACAATTTTGTTAGCCTAATAGCAAACTTCCTTTTAAAAGTACACAAATACAGTAGAACCTCCATAGTGACCACCTCCCCATATTAACCACTTCCTTAAGTTGACCTAATTAATTTTCACAGACTAGACATGTACCACATGTACGTATCAGTATAGTAGGCCTAGTTCCTTATGTTGACCACCTCCCTGTGTTGACCTTGGTTCCTTGGATCATCAATTACAGAGGTTGTACTGTAATACATGTTGGCTATAGAAAAAGAAATATACATAACAAAAATCTACTGTAATCTCATCACTGAGAAATAAACATTGTTAATGTTAATGTGGTAGACAAAATATTGGCCCCCAAAGATGTCCATGTCCTAATCCCTAGAACCTGTGCATGTGTTACCTTGTTAAAAGGGACTTAATGCATGTGATTAACTTAAAGAGTCTTGACATAGGTAGGGTAGTGTCCTAGATAATCTAGGGTAGTATCCTAGATTATCCAGGTGGCCTTCAAGTACTTAAAAAGGTCTTTAAGAGAGGGAAGCAGGAGGTCATTGCAGGAGGTCAGTTGGGGGAAAGTGTTAAGCTGTTGGCTTGAAAGATGGAGGAAAGGCCACCACCATCATGGAGTGAGGGGTGGCTTTTAGAAGCCAGAAAAGGTAGGCCAGGCACAATGGCTCACACCTGTAATCCTAGCTCTCTGGGAGGTGGAGGGGGTGGATTGCTTGAACTCAGGAGTTTGAGACCAGCCTGAGCAAGAGTGAGACCCATCTCTAAAAATAGCACAGCGTTGTGGCAGGTACCTGTAGCCCCACCTACTTGGGAGGCTGAGTCAAGAGGATCACTTGAGCCCAAGAGTTTGAGGTTGCTGTGAGCTGTGATGTCATGGTACTCTATGGTACTCTACTGAGAGTGACAAAGTGAGACTCTGTTTAAAAAAAAAGCCAGAAAAGGTACGACACATTCTTCCTTGAAGCCTCTGACTTCAGGAATTAAGAGAATCAATTTGCATCGTTTTAAACTTACAAGTTTGTGGTAATTTGATATAGCAGCATTAGGAAACTAATATAGCCATGAAGTGAATAGCCTTCTATTCTTTTGAGTATATGAATAGGTTAAAAAATATTTGTCCACCTATACTAATAATGACAAAAATGGGACCAGCTGTACATGTTACTTCGCAATTTCTCTCTTCACCCAATTTGTTGTGAACAACTTTTTACGTCAATGGATACATATGTGTGTGTATATATATACATATATATATATTTATTTATTTTTATTTTTATTTTTTTTTGAGACAGTCTCACTCTGTTGCCCAGGCTAGAGTGCCATGTTGTCAGCCCAGCTCAATAGCAACCTCTAACTCCTGGGTTCAAGTGATCCTCCTGCCTCAGAATCCCAAGTATCTGGGACTACAGGTGCCTGCCACAATGTCTGGGTAATTTTTCTGTTTTTAGCAGAGATGTGCTCTTGCTCTTGCTCTGGCTGTTCTTGAACTGCTGAGGTAAAGGCTTCTCCTGCCTTGGCCTTCCAGAGTGTGAGGCTTATAGGCATGAGCCACCTTACCAAGCCTTTCTTTTTTCATAACAGGATTCACTGCAGTAGGGGAGAAATAGTGAATTAACTTTGACCACTAGATATTTTTAATGGCTGCGTAGTATTCCAAACTAGATTTTCTTTCTCTGTTACATATTTTTTCTCATACTATTTTTTGCTAACTTGCTTAGGAATAGCTGGTGCAGTATTTCTTTTGCTTCTGTGTTCTTTTGCTGATGGAATTCTGGCTGGCCTTGCTGGTTGTACAGATTCATTTTGTTAACCTTGTTCTGAATTCTACTGATACATAGACCTTGAGATTTTTCCCAGTAGGATTCATCCCAGAGGAGCTAAGAAATATCAAGTGGGTTAGAAACTAGAGTGTACCATGGAGAAACATTTTTTCCCCCTGACTTAAATTTCTGATTTATTAAGCCACAACAGATCCCAGCTTGAGATACATTCAGCAGGCCTTGCTTCACGTCCTGCTTGTTCAGTGTCTCAATGGATGTTCTGTTGCTTTTACCATGTAAATTTCTACTTTCAAGCAAATACATACAGAAATAGGTAAATACAGGGTGGACATAAAGTTCGTCTGCAATTGAAGATCATTTAACATGGTAAATTGTACAGGAAGTTATGTCCACCCTGTACTTTACAACTATTCTGTTTCAGTCTGACATGAGGGACTAATCATTTCTTTCTCTTAAAAAAAATGTATTAATGGAAAACATTTGGTTATTTTTTTCTTTTTGGCTTTCTATCAAATATGAGATAGAGCTCTGCAAAGAATTATGTAAGGCTGTGGAAAGCTCATAAATTTTCTGGGCATGAACTACTTCATCCTGAATCACATGTTGCTATGGGGGAGGGTGCCCTGAGGAGTAAAACCCAAGTGCTGTCATACTGGGTCTGCCTCTGTTTTCTCCTGAGCGGCAACCATGGCCTCTTTGTGGGAGTTGCATGGAATCTAATGCTAAGCCCGAGGAATTGACACAGAAGGGCATCAGGATGCAGAATCTGCCTAGCTTGTGGCTTCCTTACCACATACCCCAGAGCCCAGGACATAGTAAGTGTTCAGCAAATATTTGTGGAAGGAATGAATTGGCTGGCTCTCTGTGGGGCGCTCAGCCTCTGTCCCCATTCTGTTTTGTTGCAGCTGTTTGTCCCTGCAGGCTTGGTGGAGGGGAAGGGGTAGGCTTTCTGAGAAAAGTTGTGGACCTTTGCTGTCTGCTTTGTTCTGTGGGGTTGGCCCTGAAATTCGGATGCTTGGGTGTGTTTACAGCCCTTAAGTGGGGAATGGATCCAGTCTATAAGTTTGTGTAAGCATTGCTTCCTCACTCGTTTGCTATTACCCAACTTCCAAATTCCCTTTGGATCACTCTTTTAGGAAAGAGAGGAAAGTGAAGAAAATAACTTATATTTTACCCACTGTGTGTCTGGGACTTCTTGCACATGAACTCAGTCAAACCTGGAAACAATCATCTGAGATATTATTATCCTCATGGTTTAGGTAAGATAACCAGGCCCAGAGAGTCTAAGGTCATTTGTTCAAGGCCACAGTAGCTAATCAGTGATGAAGCCAGAATTGGACTCAGGGCTTTTGTTCATTCATTCATTCATTTTTTGGTTCATAGCAGTGTCCTATTTATTTATTTATTTTTTTCAGTTCATAGCAATGTCCTAATTACCCGGGGCTTTCTGACCTGCTTGTGGCCTAGGCAGACAGAAAGAATTGAATTTCTGTCAACAGCAACTCGTTGATACCCATATATGGGGAATTGAGAACTCAAACCAGAATTCTGAGAGCTCTCAACCCCTCCCCCACAGGAGCTGCGTTTCCTAGGCGAGCCTGCTGGCTGCCTTTGTTTTTGTCATTGTGTCTTTTCTTGAGGCGGCACACTGGGGAAGACTGATGACCACTTCTGCATTGGTTAAGGGTTTATTCAGAGAGGAAGCTGGTGTTGGGACATGGTGGCTTGTTTTCATCTGTTGCTTGGTCAGCACCCATTTCTGCACTTAATCTATAGATAACTTTGTGGAAGTTAGAGAAAGATAGACAGGTGGAGTTTGAGTCCCCGAGGCAGGTAGGGTCTCTGTTTTTGTAGGCCCAGCAACTCCATCTGCCCTTCATGAAAGATTTGTTGAGTGTTTTTATGACCAAGCCCTGCTCTAGGTACTGGAGATTCAGCAGAGAAAAAGACAAACTTCCTTCCTTCCCACACAGAGCTATGTCTTGTTGATGCCCTCAAGAGACATGCATTTGTGCCGCAGAGGAAACTGGGTACTTTGCAGACTGATGTTAACTCCCTAGGAGCTGACTTACGTGCCTGGTACTGAATAGTCACTTGACTGGGTGGAATGCTTGTGCCTGGAATGGCTGGGGCCTGAGGAGCTGAGTTTGCAGCAGAGTGCTTGACAAGCTGACTTCAAGTCCCAGGACGTGGGTTGTCTGAGGTGTATTCCTTTTTGCCATGGAGAAGGCCCCGTTCCTGCATGCACCTTGGAGGGGAGATTTTAATATTTGCACTGACCTACTTGGTGTCTGTGTAGGTAGACAGGAGAAACAAAGGTCACCTGCTCACGGATAGACCATTTGACAGAGTGGTCCTTAAACTTTGTTGGCTGGGAGAAAGCTCTGGAAAACTTTTTTAAAAATACTAATGCCTGGCTTCAGTCTAGTCCAAGAGTTCTCAAATATTGGTGCATATCACAGATGAGAATCCTCTGGAATGCTTCCAGATCACAGAACCCAGCAGTGTGGGTGACAGGAGGCCTGGCCCTTTGTATTTTCACCAGGCACCCCAGAGCATTCGGATACCTGGCTAAGTCCAAGACCACTGCTGTACACAAGCTGCTTCTGAATCTCAGAGTGGGGGCCAGGTGTTAACATTATTTCTAATGCTCCAAGGGGATTTTTTTTTTTTTGAGATGATCGTATGATTTTCTTTTTTACTCTATGAATGTGGTAGTACAGACATCTTTACTATTTTTTTTATCTTTACTATTTTAATAAACATTTTAAGTGTATAGTTCATTGGCATTAAATGGATTCACAGTGTTGTGTAACCATCACTCCCATCTATTCACAAAACTCTTTCAACATCCTCAGCGTGAACTCTGAACCCATTACACAATAACCCCTCTGTTCAGCCTCTGGCAACCACCATTCTGCTTTCTGTCTCTATGATTCGAGGTCCATCCACATTTAACACGTAGCAAAATTTCATTCCTTTTATTGGCTAATAAATTTCCTTTCTAAGGCTGAATGGATATTTCATTGTAGGTATATATTCTGTTTTGTTTATCACTTCATCTGGTGATGAGCCCTGGGCCTCTTTCCATTTTTTTCCTCTTGTGAATAATGCTGCTGTAAGCATGGGTGTTCAGATTTCTGCTTTCAATTCTTTTGGATATGTATCTTGGAGAAATCTTTTTAAATTTCATTTTTTATTGAGGTGTAGTTCACATACTATAAAATTAATCATTTTTTGTTTTTAAGACAGAGTCTCACTATATCATCCTTGGTAGAGTGCTGTGGCATCACAGCTCACAGCAACCTCAAACTCCTGGGCTTAAGCGATTCTCTTGCCTCAGCCTCCCAAGGAGCTGGGACTA